ATCCATCCATCCATCCATCTATCTACCCATCCATCCATCCATCCATCTATCTACCCATCCATCCATCCATCCATCCATCTATCTATTCTTTCTCTCTTCTTTCTATTATCTATTTCTCATATCCATCTATCTATCATATCTATCAATATCATATTTATCTATATGTCATATCTATTTATCCATCATCTATTTATCTATCTATCTATCTATCTATCTATCTATCTATCTATCTATCTATCTATCTATCTATCATATCTATCATCTATTTATCATATCTATCAATCTATCATTTATCTATCATATCTATCTATCATCTATTTATCATTTTTGTTTATCATATCTATCAATCTATCATATCTATTTATCCATCATCTATCTATCATCTATTTATCCATCATCTATCTATCATCTATTTATCTATCATATCTATCTATATATATAAAAAGGGAAACGCCCCTCACGCATCATCACAAAATCTCCAGATCCATAAAGCCTACAAACATGAAATTTGGCATGTGTGTTCCTCTTGGTTTCTAGGGGCTCACTAAGAAAGGATTTTTTAAAATGACCATCAGAGCATTTAGAGTATTTCCTATATTATTATTATTATTATTATTATTATTATTATTATTATTATTATTATTATTATTATTATTATTATTATTATTAACATGCTCTGATGCTCTTCCAAACGCAAAACACAAGCAGAACGGAGGAGTTTCAGTTTCAGTTTCAGTTTCAGTTTCACAGCACCAACCAGCTTTAGTACAGAACAGTTGAGCTAAGCCACGCTCAGGCTCCTTGCTGTCTCCTCCTTGCTCACGGTTTCAGTTTCCAAACAGCCCTCCACACACGGACAGGACACTAGCCAGATGAATTCCGATGGATGCTGGGAGGCAGAGGCAGAATTCCCCCTCCCCTTATTTTCCTCCCCAAAAACTAAGCCCCACCCCCTAGTTTCGTAGGGACCCAGCTAGCCTGAGCAGGGGGGTTAGGCTAGATGACCTCCAAGGCCCCTTCCCTCTCCTTCCCGGGTGCTCCTGAGCTTCCCTTCTCTGCCCAGCCCGGGGTGGGGGTGTGGGGAAGGGGTCTATGTGGACGACGACCCCCTCCCACCCAGGAGCTTTGGCTGCCCTTCCCGGGACAGCTGCCCGGACGGAAATGCCTTCAGCAGCTGGGTAATCCCCCCCCTCCCCCCACCCACCCCGGGGGGAACTCGATCCGACCCTTCCCCGGCATTTGGCGCAGGTGTGTGGGGAGGGGGCGGGGTGTTTGTCCAGAAACCAGGCAGCTTCTTCCCGGCCGCGCGTTTCTGCCAGAGCTCAGGCCCGGCGAGGGGAACGCCATGCCCGTCTGGATGGTCTTTGGGGGACTCCTCTGGATGCTGGCCGTCTCAGGTAGGGGGCTGGCCCCAGCTGCGTCGGAGGGAGGGGGCTCCCTCCCGCTCCTGGGACCCCTCTTTACCTTGGAGGGGCACCCGCCTGCTTGTCGCGGCCAGGAGGAGCAGTTACCCCTCCCCCCTCCTCTCCTCCTCCTCCTCCTCCTCCTCCTCTCTCCAGCTGCGGGGGCTTCGGAAGTCGAAGTCGAGGGGCGCCTGAGAACGCGGCTCTTCGAGACTTACTCCGCCACGGTGCTGCCCATCCACCAGATCTCCCACAAGGTCCCCGTGAGGGTGGGAATGTCCCTCTCGCAGCTGATCAGCTTAGTAAGTGGGGGAGGACGGAAGGGGGGTGTCCTATGGGGGAGGGGCAGGGGGGCTGCCCACCAGGTGGGGGGGAGGAAAGCCCCCGATTTTGCCCACCACCACACGCAAGCCTCCCCCATGGGTTGCCTTTTGGCCGGCCTTGGCGGATACCCCCCCCCCAAAAAATATCACAGAAGGTACCTCGGGAGGTCATCTAGGCCATCTCGCCTGCCCAGCAGGGGGAGACCCTACCTACCCCGACGCCCCGCAAGTCCATAGACCACCGATAGGAAGCGGCTGGGGAGGATGAGGCGTGGAGTACTGCTGGGCTCCCCTTCCCCGCCTGGTCTTTCTGCGGCCAGACAGGCTTCTCTGCCCTCCCCCCCCCGGGTGGGAGTCACAGGCCGAGCCCCCTCTCCCACCCCAAAACGGTGAGATTTCGGGGAACGATGGGATGGGGTGTCCTTGGGGCTTTGCACGCTTGGTCCTGGGCGTGGAAGAGGGCAGCGGAAGCTGCAACAGCTGAGAAACCAGCTATTAATAACACATCGTCCACTGCCAGGTGCTGGCAGGACAGGGCGGGGGGGGCTAAATTTTGGGGGGGGGGGGGGGGGGGGGTCTCTAATCTACTTCCGAGCATCTCTTGGTCCCTGTGCTGGATTGGCCAACCGGCCGTGCTTTCTGATCGTGGAAGAATGAAGCCAGTTTGATCTGGATTGAAGCCCCAAGCTAATAACTGGGAGACGGGGAGTTCTAGTCCCGCCCTGGGCAGGAAAGCCAGCTGGGTGACTTTGGGCCAATCACCAGGAGACAGGGAGTTCTAGTCCCGCCTTAGCTATGAAAGCCAGCTGAGTGAATTTGGGCCAATCACCAGGAGAATGGGAGTTCTAGTCCCGCCTTAGCTATGAAAGTCAGCTGAGTGACTTTGGACCAATCACCAGGAGAATGGGAGTTCTAGTTCCGCCTTACATATGAAAACTGGGTGACTTTGGGCCAATCACCAGGAGTCGGGGAGTTCTAGTCCCGCCTTAGGCACAAAAGCCTGCTGGGTGACTTTGGGCCAGTGCTTACCTCGCAGGGTTATTATTGTGGGGAAAATAGGAGGAGGAGGAGGAGGAGGGGGAAGATTAAGTATTTTTGCCACCTGGAGTTATTTACAAAATAATAATAATAATAATAATAATACAGGTTGGTTATAAAATGATAAGGGAAGATAAGTCGGATGGGGTGTAAGGTAGGGAAGGGAAGGGAAGGAGGAAGGGGAGGAAAGGAAAGGGGGAAGGGGGAAATGAAAGAGAAGAAGGGGAAAGGAAAGTGAAGGGAGGAAGGGAAGGAAAGGAAAATCAAATCAAATCTCTGGGCCACTTATGTCAGCTTCTTGGGCTTTGCCACCTTGTGGTCTCCGTCTGCCATGAACTCTGGGGGGAGAAGAGGGGGGGGATGCGTGGAGGGGGTCCCCGAGGTCATCTAGTCGAACCCCTGCTCAGCGCTGGGGTACAAACGAAAGCCTGGAGTCCAGCGTTGGCATGAACCCATCCACCACAGAGGGGCGGGGGGGGCAGCCCCCTCCCTCAGTCACTGGCTCTTCCTGGGAGGGTGTTTCCTCCCCCCCTTTTTGGGGGGAGTGTCAAAAAAATTCCTGACAATACGGAGGCTCCGGAAAGCACACACACATATTTTCTTTTCAGAATGAAAAGGACGAGGAGCTGACCACAAAGGTCTACATGAACCAGGTGAGTAGGGGAAAAAAATAGAAAAATAGACTGCCATCTTGACTTTTTTGCCGTCTATGGACCCTTTTTGCCGCCTCTGCATTAGAAAAACAGGGATGGTTGTCTGGAACTCTCTTGTCGGCAGAGGGCCAAACCGGCGGAGGAATTCGAAGCTGGAGTAGAAGACGGGAGCAGCTGTTTAAGGAGTGGGGGCGGGGGAGGGGGAGAGAGGAAGAGAGTGAGACATGGGTTCGAGGACATGTGTGTAAAGATTGTGGGGAGGGGGCTGTCTGGGCACCCAGTGAGAAGGATGTTGCGTATAAACAACCGTGAAGTGCAGAGCTTCCGAGCAGCTAAGTGCATCGACCGAGCTCCATCTGGGTTGCCAAAAAGTGAAGACATCCGGAGACACTCAAATTCACAAAGAGAAACTGGTCTTCGATGTCTGCCTATTACCTCCTTCTTGGGTCCAACACTATGCTATAGACAGGTAGTCTTCGACTTACAACCCCAACTGAGCCCCCAATTCCTGGTGCTAAGGGAGTTTTGGCTCTCTTTTACGACCTTTCTTGCAAGTGAATCCTTGCTGTTGTTAAGTGAGTCACCCAGGTGTTAAGTGAGTCCGGAATCCGCCCCCTTTGTCTTTGCTGACTTTTGATCACGTGACCGATGTGGCAACAGTCGTAAGTTGGAAAAGGGTCATCAAGACCTTTTTGCAGGGCTGTGGTAACGTTGAACGACAACTCAAGGACCTGTTGTAAGTCAAAGGATAAAAACTTACAATTCGTTAACTTACTGGCTGCCCTGTAATTTTTCCTCTTCTTTTTTTGGGGGGGTAGGGCGGGGGTCCTGCTCGATTCTTCCATCCTCTTCCTCATCCAAATTTCCTTTCCCTCTCAGGAGTGGATCGACTATCGGCTCACCTGGAACCCAGCCGAATTTGAAGGCATCACGGCCATCCGAGTTGGTGCTGATGAAGTGTGGCTCCCGGATATCGTTCTCATGAACAAGTGAGCCTCCAGGAGGACTAGAATCTTGATGCTGGCCTCGTCCACAACTGTCGTGGGTGGGAATGGGGCCTTGGAGCTGATGGGAGCCTCTCAATCCATCAGAATAGAGCTGGAAATGTGGTTTTAAATGTTCAATCTCTTCTTGAAAGCCTCCAGTGATGGAGAGTACCCACAACTTCCGGTGGCAAGGAGTTCCACTGGTTAATTGTCCTTCCTGTTAGGAAATTTCTCCTTAGTTCTTAGTCCTTGATGAGTTTCCTTCGGTTGTTGCTTGTCTTCCCCTTTAGTGCTTTTGGAGAATATTTGACGCCCTCCTCTTCCTTTGTGGCAGCCCCTCAATCAGTCAATCGGAATAGAGTTGGAAGGGAGTTTGGAGGTCATCTAGAAGATTCTAGTCTAACCAAGAAAGGAAAGAAGGAAGGAAAGAGGGGAGGGAGGGAGGTTTTTAAGATGAGAAAAGGAAGGATAGAAAAAAGAGGGAGAGGAAGGAAGGAGGGAAGGGAGGGAGGTTTTTAAGATGAGAAAAGGAACGATATAAAAAGGAAGGAAGGAAGGAGAAGGCAGGAAGGAGATAAGGGGAGGAAGGAAGGGAAAGAAGGAAGGAAGGAAGATGACAAAAGGAAATAGAAAAAGGAAGGGAGGGAGGAGAAATAGGTAAGGAAGGAAAGGAAAGAAGGAAGGAAGATGAGAAAGAAAATAGAAAGGAAGGGAGGAAGGAGATGAAGGAAAAAAGGGAAGGAAGGAAGATGAAAAAAGGAAGGATAGAAAAAAGGAAGAGGAAGGAGATGAGGGAAGGAAGGAAAGTAAGAAGGAAGGAAGATGAGAAAAGGAAATAGAAAAAGGAAGGGAGGAAGGAGATGAGGGAAGGAAGGGAAAGAAGGAAAGAAGATGAGAAAAGGAAGGATATAAAAAAGGAAGAGGAAGGAGATGAGGGAAAGAAGGAAGGAAGGAAGATGAGAAAAGGAAGGAGAGAAAAAAGGAAGGGAGGAAGGATATGAGAAAAGGAAGGACGGAAAGGAAAGGAAATGAGGTGTATTAATAAATGAATAAAATTCACATTTTTCTATTCAATGGAAAACACACCAAAACTTCGCAGGCGGAAGGCAGAACAGCGAAAACATTTTAGGGAATTGTCCCAGTTGAGCTGAATGAAATTAATGTTGATCTTTGAGCTGCCACTTGGGGGGGGTGTCCCCCCTGCCCCCTGCAAGGCTAAACCTTCAGCCTAAAACCAGCTGCAATCCTCCAGCCAAAGGTTTCGAGTGTCTCGTTTTCCCGTCGAAGGGAGAGCCGGTTTCCCTTTTCTCACCCGCCAGTGATGGCATCTCTCTCTCTCTCGTCTCTTTTTCCACCCAGCAACGACGGCGTCTTTGACATTGCTCTCAGCGTGGATGTCCTCGTGCACTATACCGGGAGGGTCCAGTGGCAGCCCCCGGGCCTTTATCGGAGCAGCTGCAGGATCCAGGTTCGACTCCTCTCTCAGCCCTCATAACTCGCTCTGCATAACTTTTGCGTCGAGGACTAAACAAACAATGACTGAGTCAAAATGTCCATGTCAAAATGCGCCGAGTGCCTGACTCAATGAAGTTCAAAACGCACCATGGCCTTCGTAGCTAAGCCTATTTACAACCACAAATTTCCACTGCTAAGCCAGATAGATCTTCGGTAACTTTTCCCCCATTCCATGACCTTCCTTGTCACCGTTCTTAAGTGAGTCGCACAGTTGTTAAGCAAATCCGCCCTCTCCATTGCTCGTCAGGAGGTTGCAAAAGGGGAATCGCATGACCCTGGAACACTGCGGCTGTCATTAATGCGGATCCACAGCCCAAGTGTCCAAATTTTATTCACGGGACCGTGGGGGGACACTAGAACGGTCCTAAGGGGGAACAATGGTCATAAGTCACTATTTTCAGCACTGTTTAGATTTTGAACAGTCACTAAATGAACAATTGCAAGTCGAGGATGGTCTGTACTGCATTCTAATCAACTGCGCCACCACAGCTCTTAATGACCTCCTTGCTTAGCAATGGAAATTGCACTCTCAACTGTGGCCGTAAGTCAAGGACGGCTTCATAAAGGAGGACGTGGTTCCAGGGCCTATGCCATACTTCCTCAGATTCTCCCGCTTGTGTTTTTTTGTGTTTTTTTGCAGGTTACCTATTTCCCGTTCGACTGGCAGAACTGCACGATGGTCTTCCGCTCATACACGTACGACGCCTCCCAAGTCACCCTCCTGCACCCCATAAATGAAAAAGGGGAGGAGGTGAAGGAGATCCTGATATATGAAAACACGTTTATCGGTGAGGAAAAGTTGCCCAATTGGCGCCCAATGTGAGGGTGGCACTTGCCCGTTTGCTGCGCAAACCCACTCACAGGATCGAAATGGAGATTGCGCAAACCCCGCGCACCACCTTCGTTCCATTAACCAAGGAAGGATTTCACCGGAACCCCATCTTCCCTTTCCAATTCCTGCAATGTTCGTTTGTTTCCACTTTTTTTGGTTTACAATACCTCCCTCGAAGGATGCGTGTCTGCAGGGGAGAGCACTGGTGACAATAATGTTATCCATTCAGTTGTGTCCAGATCTTGGCCAGATCCTGACCGCGGGCCAGGCGGTCTCTCCACATCTTCCAATCGTGCACTGCCTCTTTTGACTTGTTGTATATTCTGGCCAGTGTCAGCTTTGATGGTTCTCAGCTACTGTGTTCTTTGATGACGTGGTTTCCTTTTACCGCTAACTCTTCCCAACATATGGTTGGTACCTCAGTACTCTACGTTAATTGGATCCGGGAGGTGCATTAAGTACCAAAAACGATGAGTACCAAACAAATCCTTCCCATAAGGAGTAATGTAGCGAGTCACAATGACAAGTTCTAATTTTTGTGTTGAGTACTAAACAAATGAGGAGTACCGAGAGGAAATGTTGCCGTGAAAATGCGTCCAGTGCCAAACTCATTTCAAAGAGGTTGAGTACCAAGGTACCATTATAAAGGCTCTTCCCAGTAAATTCCCCCGCATGACATGGTCAAAATAAGTGAGATGTTTTGTGAGTTTTGCCTTGTGCCGTGTTACGCACTCCTCCAATATTTGTTCGTGAGTTACCTTTGCTGTCTGAGAAGCTGGAGTTTTCTCCAGCTCCGCGAGTCGTCTTTAAAAAAAGGACAGGCTTCAATTGCACAGTTGCGGCTGCCATCTTGACTGTTTGGATCTCCTTGGACTCAAATCAATGTCCGTATTTTCACTTGAGCCAGGGGACCCTCACCTGCGGGGGGCCATGGGTTAATCGGCACTGGGATGCTTCTTCATGCACATGTACCCCAACTCGCACGAGCATCATCATGGGTGCTTGCTGTCCCGCTCGTGCGAACGTTGCCACAAATGTTGCACGTGCACAGACACGCACATGTGCTTGCCCCTCCCACAGAATCATTCCTTCTTTTACCCCTCCCCCACCTCTCTGGGTCCCCAACCGGGAAAGTTTGGGGAGCAGGCGGCCTTCTTTCCTGGGTCAACCGAATCCAGGATTTAGCCACAAACTCCCCGCTTTTGTGCACACCGTCGTCTCCTCTCCGGAACTTCCTGGTTTTGTCCATCTTTCTCAGTCTGCTCAAAGAACACGGGGGGCTTCATTCGAGGTGACACAAGCATGGAGGATTGTGGGGGTGGGTGTCTTCCTTTCAGGCATCCTTCCTCCTTTCTTTCTCCAGACAACGGACAGTGGGAGTTCCAGCACAAACCGTCCCAAAAGAACACTCGTCCGGGAGATTCGCTGTACGAGGATATCACTTTCTACCTCATCATCCGCCGTAAACCGCTCTTCTACCTCATCAATGTCATCATACCTTGTATCTTGATCACAATCCTGGCCATCTTCGTGTTTTACCTCCCGCCGGATGCCGGTGAGCTGACTGCGAATGGGCTCCGGTTCTCTCACAGCAGGGGTTGCGATGCAACCGGTTCACCCCGGTTCGTGCGAATCGGTAGCTAATTTTATCATCTTTAAGGACTGGTTTGGCAAACTGGTTAATCCCACCCCCTGGGGTGGCCCCTCCCCTCCCCACGCCCCTCCCAGGAGTCTCTATATGGCCTGTTTTGGATGCCAGGTAAGAACAGGGCCTGCGCAGAGACTCAGGGAGGGCGAAAAACAGCTCTCCCAAATTCTGGAAGGCTTGAAACAGCCTCTGGAGGCTGAGGAAGCTGTTTTTGCCCTTGTGGAAAGCTTCCAGAGTGCAGGGAGGGTGATAAACGCCCCTCCCAAAGTCCCAGAAGGCTGGAAACAGGCCCGTTTCGGGCATCCGGTGGCTGGGGAGATCATTTTTTTTGCCATCAAGGAAAGCCTCTGGAGTGTGGAAAGGGTGAAAATGCCCCATCTTCCCCCCCCCCCGCTGTGGTGCAGGAGGCTGACTAGGCCACACCTACATGCCCACCCAGCCACTGCGCAGAGAACCGGTAGGTGAAATTTTCAAAGCCCGCCCCCGCTTGTAGCAAATCACGGGGTTGGAATCTAGGATGGGGTGTCAAACCTCGATGATATCATGGGCCACATCAAGGTTGTGTTTGGCCTCAAGAGGGTGGCCGTGACCAGCTTGATGTCACTCCTGTCGGGAGAACCTGTGGCGGCCGAGCGCTCTGCCAGTGAAAACGGGCCACTGATCTCCATTTTTGGCTGGGACGGCCTCCCGTAAGCCTCCGCCAGTGAAAACAGGAGTTTTCCCGAACTCCATTTTCGCTGGCAGAGGGGTGCAGGAGGCCGTCGCAGCTGAAAACAGAGGTCGGCGGCCTGTTATCGCTAGCAGAGGCACCAGGGTCCTTTACCGTTTCTACAGAGGGCTTTGAGTTTGGCACCCCTAGGTCTAGGACAACTCGCCACAGCTAACTCACTGACGCCAATCTCGAAGAAATGGCGGTATTGGATCCCTCTGACTTTGGTCCAAAGCCCAACTTGTGTTTCTTCTTCACAACCAGGCGAGAAGATGACACTCTCCATATTCGCGCTCCTCACCCTCACCGTCTTCTTGCTACTGTTGGCCAAAAAGGTCCCGGAGACCTCCCTGGCGGTGCCCATCATCATCAAGTACCTGATGTTCACTATGATCCTGGTGACGTTCTCTGTCATCCTCAGCGTGGTCGTCCTCAACATTCATCATCGCTCGCCCAGCTCCTACAAGATGCCCTTCTGGGTGAGGCAGGTAATGTCCTCCTGTGGGGTCCCTTGGAGCTGGGGGGAGGGGCAGTTGACCCGAAGGTCATGGGGGTCGTGTTTCATGATGACCCAACTAGGGAACAGCATTGGCGGGACAAGGATCATCGATGGGACTCATCGAGCGCTGAGGATGTCACTGAGTTGGATGATAAAACGTCCAAAAGAAAATACCCAGCTCAGAGATCGGACTCATGGTCCTTGTCCCCTTCCTCTTCCTCTTCCTCCTCTCCCTCCCCTCGTCTTCCTCCTCCATTTCCTCCTCCCCTTCCCCTCCTCTTCCTCCTCCTCCATCCCCCTCCTGCTCCTCCTTCTTCTCTTCCTCCCCTTCTTCTTCCTCCACTCCACAAACCCCCCTCCCTTCTAGCACTAATCATATTCCCTAGTCAGGTCACAAA